TGCGAGTGTCCTATCAAAAATTATACCTAAAAATTTGGCTTCCTCCTTCACATGTAACACAGAACCTCGTAGAGAGGGTGGAGAAAGATTTGGGACCGTATGCTTTCTTGTGAAAACTACGATTACACTTTTGTTGGAATTTTTACCCCAAGACCACATTTTTGTGTTCATTTGTTTAGGATATTAAGACCGTTTTGCAGAATATCCCTAAGAGTAGTAGTATATTTTCCGGTGACTGTTATCGCAATATCATCCGCATAGGCAACAGTTTTGCACCCCTCTACCTTCAGTTTTATTAGCAGTTCATTCATCACTATATTCCAGAGGAGAGGGGAGAGTATTCCCCCTCTATTGACCCTTCTGCGTGTTGTTGAAGAGCATATCGTTGCTTCAATGAGTCTGCCAGTTAGCAGCTGATTTATGAATCTAATAAGCGCATCAACGCCTAGATACGAGATTGCGCTTAGTATTGCACTTGGAAGGCCCCTTCAATAACTACGAAAACAACCAGACAAAATTCTTTAAGTTTGATGATTTTTTCTATTTTATATATGAGAGAGTGGAGGGTTGTCTCCGTACATTTTCCCTTATTGTAAGCATGTTGTGAGGAAGACCACTGATTGCGGTTTACAGCATGCTTTACTTCTATATCCATAATTCTTTCAAGAGCCTTTAACATGAAAAATGAGAGGCTTCTCGCACGGATTTCATTAGGGTTATGATGTGAGGTTTTGCTGTGGGTACAAAAACTACTCTAACCTCCCTCCATTTAGTTGGGACGTAGTTGAAAATGAAACGATGTCTAAAAATGTCCAAAAGCCTGGGATATTAGCTCCCAGGAATTTTGGAGCTCAATTGGATGAATAGGGTCTAAATAGGGTCTAAAACTAAAAATAGTCCATTTAACTATCTGCAGGTTTACTTTAATAGAGTTAACCGGTGAGATATTAAGGCACTCTGTGGATGCAGTTATTAATGCCCTCTATGGATGCAGGTGTGCTATTTTTGGATAAGATTTTACACAGTTTGTAAGTTTCGGAATTACTGTTTATTTCCTGACAGTATGTCTGCAAACTAGTTCTCTTTACATAGGTACAATTTATCTTATATTTTTGTAAAGAGATCTTGTATTCCAGTCAGTCACTCTCATAATTGTCTAATTTTGCCTTATTGAATAGTCTCCTACAGTCCTTTCGTAAGAGACCCAAGTCTTTATTCCACCATGGTGGGTTGCATTTCCTACTAGGCAAAATTAAAATATTCATTGACCATTGAGGTGAGATCTTGGATTTGATAGTCTAAATCAATAATGTTCCCTGGGGGATCGAAGGAAATGTTTGACAACAGCTATCTTAACGCTGCTTTATATTTCGTCCAGTTGGTATTTTTAATATTTCTGAACTTTTTCTGTTTGCAGATGCTCGATTTATTGGGTGTGTAATGAACCTTTCGGCCGAGGATTTGGTCGACGGATCCCAGGGTTGTTACAAGAAAATTTCTTTATAACCCCGAATCTTCTCGTCGTATAATAATTTAAAAAAACTGGGTTATTTCAGTTTAATTAATTTTTTACAAAATAAAAATTTTTACAATATTTATATTTATACTTATTTACTAACAAATTTTATTGCTAATACAAATATGGAAAATTGCTATAATTCCTGTAAAAAGAAAACCCGATTAGTATTAGGGAAAGTGTCCAACGTTACCGACTAAGCCACGTCGCTTGAAATCAGCATTACCGACTAGGCTACGTTGCTTGGAATTAGAGTTACCGGCTAGGCTACGCTGGTAGGTTGGGAATCAACGTTACCGACTAGGCTACGTTGCTTGGAATTAGCGTTACTGACTAGGCTATGCTGGTAGGTTGGAAATCAATGTGTTATCAAGTACTTAGTTACGTGGTTAAATGTTTCCTTTTGTGCTGCGAAGTGCTCTGTTTCATGGCCTGTGATCAAGTGCCATGCAATTCCCACGATGCGCACTGTTCGAAGTGCTGCGACCAAATCCAACTTTGTTCGATTTTTCATTGCTTTTTATACTGTTTACTTTTAACGGGACTTCGGTTGTTGTTATTGCGAAGTGTAGCTCAACTTGAATTCATTGCTTATAAAGCAAAACCACAAATTTTGTGTTTACACCCAAAGGGAAATGGTTAGTGTTGTTGATAAATTTTACACCCAATGAAATTATTGGTAATAGTAAATTTATTGTTGGGACGACATCGTTGTTTATTTAAATCGTCACAAGGGTTAAAGTAAATTCTAGAATCATATGATCTCAGAAGGAGTGTTGAGTGGACACATTCCAGTTCTTGAGTGATCTATGAAATTTGGCCCTAGGAGCCTTCAATACTTACTGCGGTTTGGTCACCGTCACTGTATTGCGAAAGCAATAAATTTTTTATTAATCAATTTGCAGGATCTAGGCATATCGATTTCAGGAGTTCCTATTCATCGAAAAGATAGCGCATACCTATGCTCTCCTCTGATGTGATTGAGGGAGCCAGCGAGGGAACAGACACCGAGGTGTCCATACACACAGGTGAGTCTTCAAATAATATGCCGACCGGACTCACTTCGGTCATAGAAACAGGTTTAATGCTGCCCACTTCCGATGGGAGATCAGCAGCATATTAAGAAGTCGCCACAGAGTTCCTTACGTCAAACGAGGGTTGCGCCTGATCTTTTTTATAAACCCTCATATTTATGGAGAAGAAATCGTGGTTTAATACACCATCAGATCGCGCCAGAATGGCCAGGGAGGCTTTGTCGATCACAAAACTGACCAACCTATACTTGTCTTTGACTTCTACCAGCTTACTGACCTTCCACGTAGCCGTATTTACATCAAGGTTTCCCAGCCGAAATAACTCCAAAATCCGCTGGAATTCAGGAAAGCGCTCTATGTCGGCTAGGAATTAGCTACTCAGCAACAACTTTTAGTTTTGCGCTTGACCAAACCTTACCCATTCTGGAGATGGCAATGTGAAAGAGATCAACAGACGTTGATCTATCCAAGCGTCTAGCTTCACATGGCCCTGAAACCATCCACTGTCGCGACATGTAGAGGTTGTGCCTGGAAATTCCTACAGGATCTCAACGTATACATCAAGGAGCTGTCGCTCGATTTGATCTTTTTTCAGGGGTGATAGTGCCATCTGGGTCATTTTCATCGATGACCCCATCATGATCGAGCCCTTCAGCGTGTCGATAAAGGACTTAGTAGTGGTGACGTTGCCACGAAATTTTGCCTTTTGGCATAAGGTTTCGAAGCTGACTCATCTAATGAGCGCTGACGCTTCGACACAGGTTCCTTTTTCTCTTTCTTAGAAGTATTAAGGACCTGCTTTGCCCAGGCTAATCTTGTCCTAAGTGATTCGGACGTGACTGAGGCAGAGTTCTGCTATACCAGAACAAGACTATTTTACAAGCGGAGGGCGCCAGTTATACGGAGGTCTCCACTCAGAGACACAGTAACGTAGTGCCATTCATTTCATCGGCACGGCTTGAATAACACCGGAGATTACGAGTTTTATCGAGTTTTCATCTCTAGATCCATAGTGTTCTGTTATGTCAATAGAGTTATCAACATTAAAACAGGTTCACCTCGTGAAGAGTGTGATAAACATCACGCACCATGGCCTTGGTATGGCATAGGCTGATGTTGCCAAAGAACATGAACCCACACACACCACACTTTTAGTAGATTTAATTTTTAAAATATGCACTCGCACGTTTGTGGTGTTAAGAAAAAAAATGTTAATAAAATTAACGACAAATTATTGTCAAGAAATATTTATTTTGTCATTGCTTTGATGACGAATCACTGAGCCGCACATTGCACCATATGTGCAATATGCATAATTCGAAACTGTGTCAATAGAATAATCGGTTTCAAGTGAAACCATATGTAGAACACTTGCATTCGTAAATATACCACTATTTATTGATAAGCTATTTCTTAAAAATATTATATACGTTTAATTTGGGTTAACCAATTAGACGCAAGTATTATAAGTATTAACCAATAGAATCAGTACATAAGATTCTATTAGAAATTAGTATTAAGAAACAATGTTAGATTTAAGAATTAAAAATAAATAAAAATGAGTCTTGTTTGGACACTCAAAAAGAACGCGTCTTTGATTTGTATAAGCGTAACTTTACAGTACACACATTTTAGGTGCTGCTTTAAATTTCACATTGCTTCACACGATGATTGTGCATACAGCTTCATGCACGCACATTTGTGTTTTGTGATTGACTTATAAAAATGTGCACAATCACATGTGGGAGAAAATTTTATGCTCGCACCGCACTATGCGGCATAAAAACCTCTCCTCACACCGCACTGTGCGAAAAAAAATATTTTCTGTGCAGATGAGTGTGCTTTTCTAATATTACGATTGCATCCAAATATGCGTTCCTGATTTTGCGCTACCATCCAAGGGTGCAAAAAAACTTACTTGGATTTCACAATTTTGAAATAGTAAATATTATTTTGCTGCAAATTTTGAAAGAATTGATAATTGCGTTCGTTGGGATCATAACTTATGTTAAAAATTACATAAATTAACGTATATTAGTTTAAAAAAATTAGTTTTGTTAAGTAATTACAATGTAAACTTAAAATTATGAATGTGTTATTTAATTTGCAATTTAATTAAAAGTTTTTTTCAATAAATGTTTTTAATATAACATTATGTTTCTTTCGAATTGTTGAATTATCGTCACATATTTCTTCACAGTCAGATAAGGAACTAAAGTTGATAGTTGATAGCCGCAGAAAAATTGTCATTATAAGGTATTTTGAAGTCATTTTCATTGTAAGTAATTGCAGGATTGTGCAATACTGCAAGTGCGACTATAACTGTTTTCGCATTCTCCAATGATATATTCAACCCATCTAGAAGACAACGAAATCTTTGCTTTCACACACCAAAGCATCTTTCAATTGTATTTCTGGTGGTGATGTGTGCAGCATTGTAGCGTTCTTCTTTTGCGTTTTGTGGTTTCAGTATTGGAGTGAATAGGTATGGTTAAAGTTTGTATCCTGAATCGCCAACTAAGCGCCCTTTGAATTTACCTGCCTCTAACTGTTGTTTAAAAATTGACTCATCGAAAATCCGGCAGTCGTGCGTATTACCTCTCCATCTTGCGACTACATTGCAAATTTTTAAATTTGCATCACATACCACCTACAAAATATAATTTATTTTTTAAATATTTAAATATTTTAAAGGTACTAAAAATACGCACTTGTACGTTTAATGAATAATACCCTTTCCCATTTATATAATATTGGGTAATATCTCCACCCACTTTTTTAATTTTTATGTGCGTGCAATCAATTGCACCAATCACATTTGGAAAATTTTTTATGCGTTTGAAGCTTTTCATATTTGCTTCCTCTTCTATCAATGATTCTGGCATTTTAATCACAGTTGCGGCATGTTTTGCAAGAGCACTAGCTACTAACGCAAATGCAGTCAGTGGCAGCCTGGCTAAGGCCGTGTAAATCACCTGCATCGTCTTGTACATTTTATATTAAAAGCTTTTAGTATGTAATAGTATTTGAAAAAGATTAGTTACTTCTCTACGACTCCAACATCGCAAAGCTACTTAACTTGTAATCTTGCGGAAGTTCCAGCGCCTCTATTATCAAACGTTAAGTCCTGTTTCACCAAGTCAATTATTTTTTCTACGCCCTTTTTTGAAAATCGGTACCTCATTTGAAATTCATCATCACGCAGCATAAACGGATCTCTACGTTTTTTATATATTTTTAAATGGCGGGAATTTTTTTTGGCTATTCCATTTAAAAAATCTACACAATAATTTCGTTTTTAATTATATAAAAAAATTAAATTGAATTCTCACCAATTTCTTTAATTATGCTTATGGCATCCATATTTAATTGTAATTCACGCAATAAAAATTACTACACAATCAAAAATTTTGCTTAAAATGCTTTTATAGAAGGTATAAACCTATTATAAATTTTGACATATTTTAACAGCATTTTAACTTTAAAATACGTTTATGAATAGAGTTTTATAAATGCTTTATAACACTGTTAAATAACGTTTATGAATAACATTTTCGATAAAATGTATTAGAAACCTACTATAACTTTTTATGAATAAGGCCGTTAGTTTTTTTATGTATTTCACTCTAACTTTTGTAAAACTTAACTTTTGTAAAATTTTGTTAAATTTAGGTTGTAATTAAACATAAAAAATTAAGTTAAACCTAATAATAAAACAAATGTATGTTGTTTTATGTTGTTTGTTTATTTTGCTGTAATAAATATTTTAGTTGCTTTTTATATTTAATATTATGTCAGTATTATACTTTCATGAAGAGAGGATTATTTATTTCAACTTTTTAATTTTTTTAATAAGCATTAAATTAGATAATAAATGAATTATTTCACATTGCTGAAATGTGTTATTCAATTTATATTTTAAGCAGTTTAGCAAATATTTTTTTTTTTTTTTTTTTTAAACAAACATTTATTTATTGTATCTTCTCTTAAAATGAGACTAACAATAAGTTGTAAAATCTTATAACTAATTACATAATGTTACAAATTTTTATTTTAATTATACATTGTATAAAATAAAATAAAATAAGTAAACCTTATATCACGAACCTCACTTAGATTAATGGGTTAAATTTCATTAGAGTGAATGTTAGGTGGTTTCTTAAGAAAGTGGTTCAACTTTAACAGATTACTAAAAAGAAAGGTGCGGTTTTTACTTCAAGCTGTTGAATATTAATTAACGGATGGACGGTCAGCTCTTTTTAGACGGGAAGTAATAGATAGAAGTGCGAGATTTCTTGCTAAGGGATTAACATGCTCTGTCAGCCTTTTATTGTATTTTTTTCTTATATTGTCAAATTCAGCTTTAACTAGGGGAATTTGTAGATCTCGGTGTATACTTTCATTCCTAATATACCATGGGGCACCAGTGATAATTCTTAGTATTTTTGACTGAGCTCTTTGTATAATTTCAATATTTGATGCACTAGCATTGCCAAATAGCTGGATACCATAAGTCTATATTGGTTTTATAATGCTGTCATACAAGAGTACTTTATACTCTAGGCACAGGAAAGATCTGCTATTAATGAGCCAATGCAACTTAGAGGCTTGAAGCTTCATCTGAATTTTTTTGGCTTCAATATGTTTGCACCAAGTTAGTCGTCTGTCTAGGTGGATACCTAAGTACGTTATATTATCTGCTTGTGGTATGGGAATGTTGTTTAGTAAAATTGTTGGAGATGTACTCCGATTTAAAGTAAAAATGACGTGTCTACATTTTAGTTCGTTAATTTTAATTCGCCATTTTGACAACCATTTCTCCACCCGATATAAGTGAGATTGAAGTTGGTTTGAAGCTAACACAGCGTTTTTGTTTCGGCATAAAATTGCCGTATCATCGGCAAACGTTGTGGTGATAACTGAACTACTTATCGGGATATCAGATGTGTAAAGTACATACAATATAGGGCCAAGAACACTTCCTTGTGGAACGCCAGCTTCTATTGGGAAATTATTAGAAGTATATGATTTGCATTTCACTTTAAAGCTTCTATTATGCAGATACGATTCTAGAACTGAGTGGACATTTGCAGGTAATGAATAGCGTATCTTATATATGAGTCCATTATGCCATACTTTATCAAATGCTTGTTTAACATCAAGGAATACCGCTGAACAATATTCTCTGAGCTCAAATGCGTGTCTTATTTCATTCGTTATACGATTCACTTGCTCAATAGTTCCATGTTTTTCCCTAAAACCAAACTGGTGGGACGGTATTAAGTTTTGAACGTCAAGGAACGGTTTTAGCATGGTTTTAGAAAGGCATGGCAGTAAGCTTATTGGCCTGTATGAACAGGCAAGCGTGGGGTCTTTACCTGATTTATGAATTATAATAATCATGGATGTTTTCCACTCTGTTGGATAAAAGCCAAATTTAATTATGGCATTAAAAAGTCTTGTGATAAAATTTATGGCCAAAAGGGGTAAGTTTTTTATCATGATGGGTGAGATATTATCATATCCCGGTGCTTTTTTGCAATCTAACTTATTTGTGATTATTTGAACAAGATCATTGGCCGTGATATTCATGTCAATAGATGGTGCTGGTGGATCTTGAGTGGGAAAGTCATATTGTCCTGCTGCAGGATTTGGTTGGAACACCTCTTTTAGGTAATCAGCAAAAACGTTAGATTTTTCTTCATCACTTCGCGCCCAGTTTCCAAGAGAGTTTCATATTGGAGAATTGGAGTCTATGGGAGGATTTATACCTTTGCTAGCATTCCACAAAGATGAATGGTTTTTGCCATTTGGACATAGGTTTTGAATATAATTATATTGTCTGACTTTGTCTTCCTTGCTTAATGCAGATCTAAGTCTTCTTTGGGCTTCCTTAAATAAGTTTTGCGCTAAAGGGGACCTAGATTTTTGCCATTCACGCCTTAATCTACGTTTTTGTAAAACTAAATTCTCTATGTCACTATTTGTAAGAACTCTATTGAATCTGTAAATTTTATTGCCTTTAGGGGTGGAGTTTTCTGCTGCTGAAATCAGAATTGAGTTTAAAACCGAGGTTGCGTCCTCAATATGAGACTTACACTTTATCTTGTAATTTGTGTGTATGTGTGAGTTAATATACTTTTTATATTTGAGCCAGTTTGTTTTAGGACTTGTAAGGCTATAGGAACAGTCTCGTAACTGAGGACCATCACGTAAGCAAAATGTAACTGGAGAATGGTCAGAAGACAAATCGCAGCTAGTGTATGTTGAGATAAAATTTTTGCTTATGCCTTTGGATACGGCGAAGTCTATTAGGTCTGGTATTTTATTGTTATCAGCAGGCCAATATGTTGGCTGCCCAGGAGAGATTACGTCTAGTGAATTTTTTCTATTTACAATTGAATTGCAGAGCTGTTTTCCTTTTGGATTACAGAGTCGTGAACCCCAATACGTGTGCTTGGCGTTGTGGTCTCCCGCCGCAAGAAATCTTTCACCTAGAGTTAAAAAGTAATCCGTAAATTGGGTCTCAGTAATGTTGAAGCGAGGAGGGCAGTAAACTGCCGATAAAGTTAAATTTTTTCCTGTGTGCTTAAGGTGTATTGATGTGGCTTGCATATAATTATGAGCATATGTACCTAGAAAATAGTGTTTTAGACACCTTCGTATCAAAATACCTGTACCACCATGTGCTTTGTCATCTGGGTGATTGGTTTTATAGAATAAATAACCAGGAATAGAAAAGAAATTTTTGTTAGTTAGATGTGTTTCTGAGCAAAGCTTTACATCCACACTTTCTCGGGACATGAAATTTGTGAGTTCAAGTTTAAGTTGGCTTAAGCCGTTTGCATTCCATGTACAAGTTTTTAAAGTACTCATTATTTAGATAAAAACATTTGCATTAATTGGCTTTGCATTTTAACTATCTCGTTAAGAGTAGTTTGCATGATTGACATGAACTGAGTTAAGCTCTGAGTGAGTGGAGATCATTATTTCCAAACTATTACTTTGAACTGGAGGGGCTTGTTGCTTGTCAGATTTAACGACATTAGCATATGAAACACCTGGTGTAACAGGCTTAGAAGTTAAAGGTTGAGGTACTTCAACTAATTTAATGGTGTTGCTTCTTGTAGAATTACGCAACGCTTCTTTCTGCAGAGCTAACCTGTGCTTTAGTTCTTTATAAATAGGACAGCCTCTGTAGTTTGCAGTGTGATTTCCACTGCAGTTGCTACATTTTTTGGAGTTGGTATCCTTTAATGCTTTTTTATCGCATTCGGAACTATGGTGAAGCTCGCCACAAGCTACGCACACTGTACGAAGAGTGCAATATGACTTAGTATGGCCATACTCTTGGCAGTTTGTGCATTGCACCGAACCATTTCTTTTGTGGGGCTCCTCAACGCTAATTCTGCGGTGAAGTAAATACTGTAGGTTGTAGATGGGATGGCTCTCATTTTTTTTAAGCTTAGAAACTTCCGGGTGAAGTTCAACTTTAAACATAGGTTGTGGGATTTTATCTTTGTTAACAATATTTATTACTGCTCTAGCGCTAAAGCCTTTTTCGCTTAGGACATTTGTTATCTCAATGGGTTCTACATCTGATTCGATACCTTTAATTACGATAACAAGGCCCTTACTACTCTTTAGTTGGTATGTGTAGTAATTTTTTTTGCTGTCTTCGAAATATTTGGTTATGACTCTAAAATTGTTTTCAGTGTCGATTTGGATTTTGGTTTCGTGTATATTGCCCCTAGTTATAGGAACAATATGAAAAGTATTGTTTCCAATCAGACTTGCAAGGATTGTAACGAGGTTATTTGAGCTGCGTTCACGCAAGTAGATTGGAGGCGGTTTAAAATTTTTGTTAATAATTATTTTATTTTTTGGACTTGCTAAGTCGGAAAATGCAAGCGAAGTTGCCGAAGGTGCAATATTTGACAAACTTTTGTCAGTTTGTGTAGTTTTCAGAGGCAATGTATTCGATGCGTCTATTACCAAATAAGCATTACGTTTACTTGGAATGCTTATCGTATGTCTTCTTTCTAGAATTTGATTGCTCATTTGCATACGTGGTTATATATGCAAATAGCAGGTGTGCTATAAGATTTACTTAATTTAACTACTATTAATATTAATTGATATTAAGTTAAATTAACTATATAAATATAAGTAAAATTAAATTAAATTAACATAAAGAAGAAAATAATAAAAATAAAAATGAAGATGTAAAAAATAAAATGAAAATGTGTAAAATATTATACTTTATATTCTAATAATTAAACATATAAATAAAAACAAAAAGAGAAATATGAATTTAGCAAATATGAATTAACTTATTTTAGAACATTTATGTTAAGCTGCGGTTACAACGTAACTGAAGCAATGGTGAAATATGCAAAGTATGGATTATGTACTGTTAACTGTGTTCCAGTCAATTTGTTGCTGAGGTATCGAATATAATGTTAATATTTAACATCTTTTTTTAAGCACATTGTAAAATAACAACCGCTTAGTTTAAAAAAAATACATGAAGCAACAACACTAGGCCTTTTCTTTTGTAAGCATATCACAAAAGAATAATCGCTTATTTTACAAATAACAATGAAACAACACTGCTGGCTTATTTAGTCAAACATTTTGAATTCGCTTAACTAATAAGCAGCTCAAGTCGCATGGTTGCTAAAAAATCTAAACAAAAACGTCATTCTTTCTATTTATTATTTTACTGTTAAAAAACATAAAAAATTATATTTTATTTACAATTATGTAAAAAAAATATTCTCACCAATAATTGTAAAGAATTATTATTAATTTTCAAAAAGCCTAACAAAATATCTATTTTGTTCAGAGTTGGCATCGAAAGTATTGCTTATTTTATTTGTTCTTTTGTGGCACGCTTACAAAAGAAATGGCCTAATAAAGTTTTCAATCACATAGTGAAATTAACTTTTATTTCCAAGCTTTAAATTAATAAACCCTAAAATAATAAGTAATATAAACAATAAATATAAATTTAATAATAAGTTCAAGATTAATATATATAGAAAATCACTTCTTCAATAAAATATTTAATTTTAAGACCAAAATTATTGCAAATCAGTTTTCGTACTTGCTATATTCATCATAATTTTTAAATCATCATTTCATACAAATGTGCATCAAGTGGCCTTTAGACATCAACGCGCGTTGACAAACACACGAAGTCTTCTCTCTCCATTACACATTAAATTTACCAACAATTTTTTAAACACGCCTCCAGCAAAGAATGCAAAATTTGTTCACTCATCAGTATTAAAGCAATCGCTGAAGTGTCGACAGCGGCTGCTATGCGTAATTTCCTTGCGAAAAATGATGTTTTACATTTAATTTATAATTTTAATTTATATATTTATATTTATTTTTATGATTTCAATTTATATATTTATTTTTATATTTTGGTATTTTTTAGTATTTTTTGTATTTTTATTTTATTTTAAATTTTCCGTAGGTGTACAATGCAATTAATATTTAAAACAAAATTTTTATTGTAATTTAATGTTTGGTTATTTTTTTT